TGGAATCTGGAAATTACCATTTTTTTCAGAAACACTCAGTTACATTGTCCAAATCAAGAAATTAGGAGTGTGGCATTACAGTACTCCCTAAGTTTTCCATTTTAACACTTTGCTAGAAGATAAGAGGTCCTTTATAATCTTGCATTTATAGAACTTTTAACTTTCCAAATGGCTTCACAATCAAGGTCACTTTTTTCTTAAAGGACTTTTGATATAGAATAGATGCTATCTTAATTTTGTGGTTTGAACACTACCCTTTTTAAAAAAAATGACAGATGTACTGTTTCTGGAGAAACATTATTAGAAGCATTGGCTTGCTACTCGATTCTGATAGGCTGGTTTTGTTAGTGTTTAGCAAGTTTTTGTGACTCAATTCTCTGCTATCTTTTTAACACTTGACAGACCAGCATGATATGCATGCCCCACACCCTAATTTCTTGCTGTAACATGACCTAAACTAAATGACTTAGGAACTGAAATGTTTATTTCTACTCTACTAATGATGTGCACCTTTTATCTGAAAGTATACGTAGTTTGCTGAGATTTGTTTAATGAGTAGAACTGGCGTTAGGCTTGGTGGGGTTTTGAACAGAGGAGGAGTTTGAGCTGTCAGCCGCCATGTTCACAGAGGGAAGTGTTTTAAATTAGTGTCTTTGAGAATATTTCCTGGTGAGTTAAAGTAGATTTCTAAGGTAGTTGCTTTAAATAAATTTCTGTGCTCAGATAATTTATATCTTAGACTATGGAGAAACTTTTCAGATAGCCTTCATGAAATTACTGAGACGAAAAGGTGAATTCCAGAATGAGACTGTTAAGTGTTGTCTATTTTAGGCTAAACACAGGAATGGTTATTAAACTGATATTTTTTGAGTCCTTTTGAAGGAAACTTAGTAATCGAATAAGGATGGCTTATCTAGGAGAAGTAATGTCAAACTTGATATTTTCTCAAGGGGGATGTTATAGAGAACAAATTCATCAGGGCATATGATGATGTCAAGAAGAAAATATTTTTTTAATGGTTACATCTCTCTATGTGTGATTTTATGTTTAAACACCTTTTGGAGATACTCATAATCAATTTATCCAACCAGCTCACCTCAAATATTGCTGAGCTGAGACTGTTCTAGCAATGTAATAGTGAAGAAAATGGACAAAGTTTTTATAAAACTTATGTTTTAGTGATGTAATACATAATGGAGAAGAGCTCTGAATTAAAATAGAGCAGGGTGAGGGTTGAGTGAGGGTGAGGGTGTTAATTTATATAGGATGATAAAAAGAGGCCTCTGATAAAATTGACCTTTGAGTATACTGTGTGCTTCACTTAATAGAATCACTGATGACTATGAACAACCCGTGACTGAATAAAATACAGCAACCAAAATCATCTGAAAATTATGTGGAACTTCACTATTACAGAGCATTGTTTCTGGTTTTCAGATTTTAAATTTGACCAAAATGGTATTTTATTGAAATGCGGAGCATTTAACTACAGAAGGCTATTCTGAATAAACCCTGATTCTCCATTTTAAGAGGAGTTTTTTGGGGGGATGTCAGAAAAAGCTAACTACAGAAAGGACAGTTTGGCCGACTTAAGGGTTCTAATTGAGCACACTCTAAGGAAACCGTGGAGGTTAAATTCCTGATGACCAGACAGTAAACATTTGGGAGGAAATTGAAAAATGGAAGTGTTTCAGAAGTGAAAAAGGAATGCAGGAGCCCTGAAAATTAGGTTCTAAAAATGTGTAGAAATTCTACCTGGGGCTGGGCACAGTGACTCACACCTGTAATCCCAGCACTTTGGGAGGCCGAGGCAGGCAGATCACCTGAGGTCGGGAGTTCAAGACCAGCCTGACCAATGTGGAGAAACAAGAGTCTCTACTAAAAATACAAAATCAGCTAGGCGTGGTGGCACATGCTTGTAATCCCAGCCATTGGGAGGCTGAGGCAGGAGAATCACTTGAACCCGGGAGGCAGAGGTTGTGGTGAACTGAGATCACGCTGTTGCACTCCAGCCTGGGCAACAAGAGTGAAACTCCACCTGGAACAGACTTGGTGGAAGCATGAATTAGAAGAGTCTAAGACAAATGGAATTCCGCTATTTAAATTCCCTGTGTTACTTCTAGAAAGAAAAAATTGAGACAGTGAGTTCCAACTAAATGTCAGAAGTGCTAAAACACAGTATGTAGATATCTAAGAATCTTAATGCAAAGGGAAGGAACTATTCTGTGTTAAGTAGGGGAAAGGAAGATTACTGGAAAGTAGTAGTTGACCACATAGTTCATTGAAGGACACAGGGCCTATCCTGGACTTGCATAACCCTAAGAGTGAGTGCCTCCGATTTTGCACCCTAGGTGCTTCCCTTAATTTTAGTCTTGGCCCTGCAGGGCACAGAGAGCTTAGGGTTCTCTTCCTTGGCCACAAAACTTCCCATCCCTCCCCACTGCCTCAACCTTTTCATAAAAACCTTTTCTCTGCTGCTTTTCCTTCCATAATTAAATATCAGAGATTTAAGTGGCAAATAGTGTAATAGAAAAAAAATCCTACTTCTGAACTGTACCTACTTACGGGAAATAGGTCTATTCTTCCAGCAGTTTATCTTCTGACGTGGATGATCCTCCATGGAAGGCACCAGAAATTAACCTGAGAAGTGCAGGAAACAGGATAGAGAATAGTTTCGTTGTGCATGTTGCATAGACAAGACATTACAACTTCTCTTTCTATAGAGGGGCACCCCAAAGCCAGAAGAGAAAGGCAAAATCAGGGTCAGGGATCATCCAGGAATGTTAGGGGTTAGCAGGTGAGGCACAGCCCTCCAGAAGTCCTCACCCAGTGATACAGCCCAGGTAGAGGTGGGTGGTCTGAGTTGCTTGCTGGGTCATGACCCAGGCTTGAAACGGATTATTGTTCAAAAAATATGAGAGACAGATGGCATTATCTCTCAGTGCCCCTTGAGGTGTGCTGAGCCCAGGGCAGACTCTGTACAATGGCTTACGAACGACTGGCAGGCAGTACTGTCTTGCCAGAGCGTGGTAGTGCTGGACAGGAGTGTCTTGACAGGGACCCATGAGCAGGTGGAGCTAACTATCCATCTAACACTTCAAAGTTTGGTGAACAACTCTTCTTCTCCGACAGCATAGCTACATGATTCTTATTCTTTCTTCCATTTTCTCTGTTTACTTTCCTTTTCATCCTCTTAATTCAGTCATGTTCCCCTCTACCTTTCCATCCTTGCTCATATCATTCTCCCAAAAGGAATGATGAACAGTGTGCCTCTCTTCCCCTCCTACCCATATCTAATTGGTACATCCGGAACCTCATATTGAGGTCTGCCTATTCCCTAAAGCCTTTGCTGATCTCTTGGATCACTCCTCTGTCCCGCAGACACATTGAAGCATTCCTTTGATGCTAACTGGGAGGCAATTAAGGTGAGTGAAAAAAGCTTGGAGTTACGCAGACCTCAGTTGGAATTCCTGTTTCCATCCCTGACGAGCTGTGATCTACAGTAAGTTAATTTCCCTGAGCCCTGTGTTCTCACCTGAAAAGTGGAGAATCAAATCATATCTTACCTTGCAAGTCCGTTGTATAATATGTGGACATGTATATAGTGTGTAGAAACCCTTTAGGACAAATCCTGGCAGATAATAGATAACCAGTACACATTGGCTTATACTGTTAACTTTTGACATGCTGGAACTGTGAGCAGAAGTGAACTTAGAAGAGAGGAATCAGGAAGCCAAGATGGAGAACAAAGGTAAGATTGGGGACAGACGTTGAGGCCATGTATGAAGCACTCTTAAGAGGAGCAGTGAGAGACTGTACAAGCAGCTAGTGACCAGAGGTCAAAGCACAGATGTGACTACTGACTCACAGTGCTGGGATCAAGGAAAATATGCACCAAGTTTTCTTGGCTATGGTGTGGTAAAAAGATATACAGCAATGTTTATTGTATACTTTTTTTTGTGCCAGATCCTGTTCTAAGTCTCACTTAGTCCTCACAACAGCCCTGAGTCAGATACTAATAATTGTTCCCAATTTTCAGATGAGAACCATAAAGCAGATAGTTTAAATGACTTGCCTGAAGAAACACAGCTAAAAAGTTGACACCAATCAACCGGAAACAAAGATGATTTATATACTGGAGACTCTCCTGCCCATATAAGCATCTTAAGTTCAAATTTCTCAAGCTGAACATGTGCAGCCTTTTTCTATAGCACCCCCAATCCTGCCTGTCCTGACCACATTCCACCCACTTCATTATTTCACTTGAGGTGCTGCTATCCACCCAGTTACCCAAACTCAGAACCTGAAAGTCGTGTTTGGCTCCTCCTCCCCAGCCCTCTTAATCCACTCAATATCCAGAAGCTTTCAGTTCTACCTTCTTTATCTTTTGAATTTGGTCATTTCTCTCTACAGACATGAGAAACCTAGTGGAAGCCAACAGTGTCTGTTGCCTAGATCACTACCGTAGCTCCCTCATGGCCCTCCTGCCTTCAATCTGGCCCCCTGTGCTGTTTTCTCCAGCCTAGTTACAAACTTTTTAAAGCTCAAATGCAGGGAATGACATAGTCATATTTGAGCTTTGAACCCTTCCTTTGGCATTCATTCCTCTCAGGATAAATTCCAAGCTCCTCAGTAAGACATTCAAAACTCTCTAGAATCCTGTTTCTGTCTGTCATTAAGCCCCATTTCTCGCCGTTTCAACCTTGTTCTCGTGTTGCACCAGGCTTCTTCTTGTTTCCTAAAAACAACATTCCTAAGAATGATGGTTTCCAGCTGCATCCATGTCCCTACAAAGGACACAAACTCATCCAATGACGAGTTGATGGGTGCAGCACAGCAACATGGCACAAGTATACATATGTAACAAACCTGCACGTTATGCACATGTACCCTACAACTTAAAGTATAATAATAATAAATAAATTTAAAAAAATAAATAAATAAATAAAAATTAAAAAAAAAAAAAAAAAAATTCCTGGCTGATTTTTTTTTTTTTCTGGAGTTTAACACCCAGTCCTGGAGTCACCTCCTTCAGGAAGCTTTCTGTGATCCTACAAACTGGGTTAGATGTTTCTTTTTAGTGATCCTATATTCCCTTATGAATATTGTTGTCACTTCATTTTAAAAATGAACTTATGATTATTCCTGCGTCCATCTTCTCCACTAGTTGGGAATTTCTTGTTGAGGGAATGGACTGTTGAATTCCTAAGAACTAGCACATAGTAGGCCTTCAGTGAATGTTTCTTGAATGAATAAATAAATGACCAACTTTCCCAAGGTTACATGATAAGTTCTGAAACTTGAACCAAAATACATTATACTCTAGAACCCATGTTTATTCCACTATTGTATTTGCACATTAGGATGGTTAAAGTCCTTCAAGGGCTAAATTTTAAGGGGCTAAATACTATCATAAGGTTTTTCTTCCACCTCTTGAAATTGGTTTTAATTTTTCAGTAGTACATTCACATGACTCAGTAATCAAACGATATACAAAGATATTCAGTCAGAAGTCTTGTTCCCATTTTTCTCTTCCACTTTTCCAATTCCCACTTTCTCTGCCTCAAGGTAACCAATCTTGTTCATTTCTTACATCTTCTTTCAGTTTTTCTTTTTGCAAATGCATTCACATATGAAGCTATATATTCTTCTTTACCCTCCTGACTTTTAGAAAGGTATTTTAAATTTTTTCAAATATCTCTAGTTTTTCTGAAGTGGGCATGTATTAGAAAAAAGAGCTGCTCAGTACCCAGCTTGAATGAATTCACAGAGAAATTTAGAAGAGAACAGCTATTTAATGAGGGAGGGAGATAATCCTGCCGGCTCATCGGCTCCTAGAGATGTGCAGGGTCCTCTAGGACAGAGCCTGTGGTGCGGGTATTTCTCATAGGCAGATTCTCAAGCTCCCCAAAGTTACATTTTCTCTGGAACTCTCCTAGGCCACTCCCCGCTGATGCAATATCTGGGTTTGGGCAGAAAGGAGGGTGCTTCCGAGCCCGCCCTCTCTGAGTTTCCTGGGCCGGCTCTAGAACAATTCAGGCTTCGCTGCAAGTCAGACCTCAGCTCCAACATATGCATTCTGAAGAAAGATGGCTGAGATGGACAGAATGCTTCATTCTGGAAAGAAACAATGTTCTAGGTCAAACTGAGTCTACGAAATGCAGACTTTCACAATGGTTCTACAAGAAATCTGGACAAGTCTTTTCATGTGGTTTTTCTACGCATTGATTCCATGTTTGCTCACAGGTAAGTATAAATTAGACTACATCCAATAGTTTGGGCCTTGAATATTGGTTAAGAAGGCAAAAAATACTTTCCCAGGGCCTGGGGTTGAAATATGTGTGTAGAATATCTTATGTCTGTTTTATAAAAGATTTATCACCTCCTAAATCTCTATTCCCACATCCCAAGAAAAAGGCGTTCATTCTGTTTGGAAATCTCTTCTTAATGTCCACAGAACAATCTAGAAAGAGAAATCATCAAAATAAATAAAAGCAGAGGTCTGTGCACTTTGTTATTTATCTTATCGTATGGTTTTAAAGAGTGCAACATAGTTCTGTCAGACTTTCTGTGTGTGTCTTGGAGATGTTAACTATAAGAATAGATTAAAACAAAGATTCTAGCAAAATACACATGAATAAAAAGACAATTTGTGAGCTTAACATTGGATACAAGACTTAAAAAAATTGGATTTCTCTCCTGGTCATTGAAGAAAAGGTACTCCATAGCGTTCTAAAAAGTATTTGGTTTGGGACGTTTTCCCTGCCAGTGAGATTACATGATTTTCTCTGCTCCGCTCCTGGTTGCTTGTATCTACCTGCTTTAATGTCTTAAACTTGGAACTCTTTAGCCTTTGATGTTTGTTCATGTCAAATCATGTTTAAGAAAAACTTTTAATTTTGATACTCCAAGACACTAGGCACTTTGCAGTGTTGATGGGAGCCTTGAGTACTCTCTCTCTCTCTCTCTCTCACTCTCTCCCCCCCGCCCCGTGTGTGTGTTTTACACAGAACTAATTTAATTATTCTAGTTAGTTTAAATCAGGCAACAAGTCAGTACTAAGACAATTTGCAAAGGTGTAAAACTGGCTTAAACATCAAATTTATGGTGTTTTTTTCTTAAAAACCTTCACAGCTCCCAGTTGTTCAGCACATGGTGTCCAAATTCTGTTGTTTGTCTCTCATCACCCAGCATATTCAGGCCCCACCCTATATTTATTTAACCCTATTTCTCACTACTCCTTGAAAACAAATATGGACTACAAGCAGCTGCTGGCTTAACAGTCATCATATTATACCTTCATTTCCTCCTTCTGGCCTTTATTGTTATAATTTCCCACCAGAAGCACCATCTTCAGTTTTTCCTTCTACATCTTTTCAAGACCTCTCCCTTCTTTGACCCCAGGTACTTTAGCTTCGGGTGGTTACTTCTCTTTCCAGCACTGGCCTGGAGGGCCTGGGCCTGGGCATCTTTTCTGGTGTCCCCACATCCCCTAGCACAGGCTAAGCATGCTGGTTGTTTGGTTGGTTAGTTAGTTGGTTGGTTATTTAGTTGTTGGAACAAAACTGTTGCCAAGAAAACATCCCTCCACTAAGCTGAAATGAGAAGATGGGAGGGTGAATGAGAAGAGGAAAGCCCAGCATTTTTTGACTTGACATTTTCTTCAATGGCGCCAGTCTTATAAGTCTTTTCTTGAAAACTCCTGTTTTAAACAGATCTGGAGGTGAGTGTGCACTTCTGACACTTACACACTTACATAGAAAACACACACACACCAAAAAACCTCAGTGGCGAAATCACAAGGAGGTCAGCGCCAGAAAGACCTGTGTGTGAGTTTTGGCTCCGTCACTCACTAGCTCAGGACTCAATCATGTAACGTCAGTTTCCCTACCTGTGAAATGGTCATAATAGCCACTTTCAGGTTATGAGGGGTTAAATAAGATGACACAAACAAAAGCACTTTGAAGACTTCAACATTTCCCCACCCCCAAATGTTAGTTATCGTTATCTGTTGGTTATACAGATGATGGTATCAGTAGATAATTGCTTTAGCTGAGGTTGCCTTTATGCAGTTTTGACCATTTCCTCTGGATTGTGTAGGTGCCTGTGATGAATTCTGCAAATTCTGAATGAACTTCTGTTGGTTACTAGATCACTGGACAGATGGGTAGAGTTGTGGATGTGTTTTTTGTTTGTTTGTTTGTTTTGTTTTGTTTTGTTTTTGAGACGGAGTCTCACTCTGTCGCCAGGCTGGAGTGCAGTGGTGCGATCTTGGCTCACTGCAACCTCCACCTCCCGGGTTCAAGCAATTATCCTACCTCAGCCTCCCGAGTAGCTGGGACTACAGGCACATGCCACCACGCCCAGCTAATTTTTGTATTTTTAGTAAAGACAGGGTTTCACCGTGTTGGCCAGGATGGTCTCAATCTCTTGACCTCATGATTTGTCTGCCTTGGCCTCCCAAAATGCTGGGATTACAAGCGTGAGCCACCGCACCCGGCCATGGCTGTCTTTCATAGAAATCATTTGCCTTCTCCTGTCCCTCCCAAATAATAGTGTGTGATTCAGAAAGCTGATTCTGCTACCAATAGTAATAATAACAATGACAATCACAACTGCTATTTCTGAGTACACATTTTGCCTTAGGTTAGCAAAAATGTTCTTTTGACTTCTCACATGAATCCTGCAAGGTAGGTGTTATCCCCACTCCACACATTAGGGATAGAGACTAAGAGAGGTTCAGTTATTTGTCCAAGTACATATATCTAGTAAGTGGGGGAATTGGGATTTGATGATGGTTTGGTCTGCTCCAGAGCCTGTGCCCTTTACACTTCTCTGCAGAAGAAGCTGAGACATTAAAACAAGGTAGAAGAAGGGAGGAGGGACAAAGGAAAGGAAATAAATAAAATGGTGCTACCTTTTCTAATGCATTAGCCTTAAAGGCTGTTAGAGGTAAAGGTGACAGAAGATAGAGGTAAAGGTGGCAGAAGAAGAAGATAAAGGGAGTGGACATCAGACCCACTGAGCGTGCTTCAGAGAAGAGATGCAAAGATTTTTGCCTGGAAAGGTTGCCCCAGGGCTTTATGGTGGGTAGGCTTCACGCTACTTCCCTTGGACTGACTCACTCAGGGTTTTATGAAATAGGTGTTCAGCAGCAAAAAGGGTCTGATTTAAAGACGAATGAGAGTTAAAAGAGTTAGACCTAGGCTAATTTCCCCAAGGAAGCCAAAGCTTAGTTTACTTGTTCAACTTTCGTTCTTTTAACACCGTTTATATACCAGGTTCTGGGATGTGTGCTGATTGCAGAGATTTAAAAAATTTGTCTTCAGGGAGCCTGAGAGCCTGCTGAGAAGTACACTAAAGTCTTTGACATTTGGGAATTTAACAAAATTTTAACTATTCTTTAGCCACCAGAAGTAAAGTCTAGATCTGTGGTTCCCAATCTCAAATGCACATTGGAATTACCTGGGGAACTTTGTAAAAGCTAAATTCCGTGACTTCACAGCTAGAGATTCTGAGTTAATCTAGGGTGCTGTCTGGATGTTGGGACTTTTTCAAAACTCCATGGGTGGGGCTCCTTAGAGAAGTGATTGATTCCAGGACTGGGCAGGGAAAAAACAAGATGAGACAAGAGCATTTTGTGGTAAGTAATGAAGTGATTATAAAAGGATGAGGGCCTAAGTTTAACAGTTAACATAGTATCCTGGATTGGATCCTGGGATAGAAGAAAGACCTTAGTGGAAAAACTAGTGAAATTGAAATAAACTCCGGAGTTTAGTTAACAATAATGTCCCAATATTGGCTTTTTAGTTTTGACAAATGTTTTACGGTTACATAAGATGTTAGCATTCAGGAAGTTGGGTGAAGGATATATAGGAACACTGTGTACTATCTCTGCAATTATTCTGTAAATCTAAAAGTATTCCAAAAATTTAAATATCAATAAAAATAACATGAGTAAAAGGGGTGGGAACAAGTTAAAAGGACACAGGCAACTTGAAAGTATTCCCATTGGCCAAAAGCTAGAACAATTTGAATAACAAAATAACAATAGTGTTGGACTTTACAGAATAAATTAAAATATCCATGAGTCCATACTGGTAAAAATAAATAATTGAATAAATAAATAAATGGTAGAGAAGGAACAACTCTTCTTCACAAAAGAATACAATTAAATAAAATATCACTACTAGAACATCACAGCAATAATTGTTACAAGAAATATCCATCAGTAGATGTTAAAATTAATAGGTGAAAGTTTAAGGAGAAATGGAATATTTGCACAGTCTCAAAGTATCTCCCCCAAGGTATTTATTAACTATACAGGGGAAAATGGTAGCTTTACAGTAGAGACACTTTCTTAACCAAGTGATCAGGGCAATTAACATCACCGGTAACAAAATGTATTGATATCATGTACTCCCTGTGAGTGTCTGGAAAAAATGTGTAACCTCAATCAAATCATGTGAAAATATCAGACAAAACCGAACTGAGATATGTTCTACAAAACAACTGATGAGTACTCCTAAAAAATGTCAAGGTCGGCCAGGTGTGACTGTAATCCCAGCACTTTGGAAGGCCAAGGCAGGCGGATCACGAGGTCAGGAGATCGAGACCATCCTGGCCAACATGGTGAAACCCTGTCTTTACTAAAAATACAAAAATTAGCCAAGTGTGGTGACATGTGCCTGTAGTCCCAGCTACTTGGGAGGCTGAGGCAGGAGAATCACTTGAACCTGGGAGGCAGAGGTTGCAGTGAGCCAAGATCGCACCACTGCACTCCAGTCTGGCAACAGAACAAGACTTTGTCTCAAAAAAAAAAAAAAAAAAGTCAAGATCATTAAAAAAGACAAAGACAGACTGAGAACAGTTTGGAGGAGACTAACTAGACATGACAGTTAAATGAAAATCCTGAATTGGATTTTGGCAAAAAAAAAGAAAGAAAGAAAGAAAGAAAAGCATTAGGGAAAAAACTGATGAAATTTGATTAAATACTGAAGCTTAGTTAATAATATTGCATTAATATTAATATCTTAATTTTCTATAATTGTGCTATGGTTATGTACATACGGAGGGCTGAGTGAAGAGTATATGAGAGCTCTCTGTATTATTTTGCAACTCTTCTGAAAGTCTGAAATTATTTCAAAATACAGTTAATCTGTTCATTATTTCACTGGGCTAACATCAAGGTATGGGCAGGACTACATTCCTTCTGGAGGTTTTAGAGAATCTGTTTCCCTCTTCCG